AACATCCCTCTCTCTATCCCCCCTCTCTGTCCCTCTCTCCAGCCTTCCCTCCATCCCTCACTCTATCTTTTGCTCTATCTCTCTCTACCTCCTTCTCTGTCTCTCGCCCTCCATCTCCATCTCTCTCCCTCCTTCGTCTCTCTCTCCCTCTTTCTTCTCTCTCTCTCCATCTTCGTCTCTCTCCCTTCTTCTCCATTTCTCTCCATCCTCTGTCTTTTCCCCTCTTTTCTCCTCTCTCCCTCCAGCTCCTTCTCCGTCTCTCTCGCTCCGTCTTTGTCTCTCTTTCTTCTTTCTCCCTCCATCTCGTCTATCTCTTCCTTCTTCTCCATTTTTCTCCCTCCTCCATCTTTTTCCCTCTGTCTCCTCTCTCCCTCCATCTCCTTTCTCCATCTCTGTCCCTCCTTCTTCATCTCTCTCTCCTTCTCCTCTCTCCTTCCGTCTCAGTCTCCTTCTCCATCTCTCTCTCTCCCTCCTTCTCCTTTCTCTCCCTCCTCCATCTCTCCCTCCATCTCCGTCTCTCTCTTTACCTCCTTCTCCATCTCTCTCCCTCCTCCGTCTTTTTCCCTCTGTCTCCTCTCTCCCTCCATCTCCTTCTCCGTCTCTCTCGCTCCTGCTTCGTCTCACTCTCCTCCCTTTCTTTCTCCATCCCCCTCTCATTCCCTCTGTCTCCCTCTCTCCATCTTCCCTTCATCCCTCTCTCCATCTCTTGCTCCATCTCTCTCCCTCCTCCATCTCTTTCCCTCCATCTCCTTTTCCTTCTCTCTCTCTCTGCTCCGTCTCTCCCCTCCTTCTCTCTCTCCCTCCCTCTCTCCAACCCTCCCTCCATCCCTTTCTCCATCCCTCCCTAACATCCCCCCCTCTCTCTCTATCCCCTTTCTATCCCTCTCTTGTTCTCTTCAGCCTTCCCTCCATCCCTCACTCCATCTCTCCCTCCATCTCCATCTCTCTCCCTCCTTCGTCTCTCTCCCTCTTTCTTCTCTCTCCCTCCATCTTCGTCTCTCTCCCTTCTTCTCCATTTCTCTCCATCCTCTGTCTTTTCCCCTCTTTTCTCCTCTCTCCCTCCAGCTCCTTCTCTCTCACTCCGTCTCTGTCTCTCTTTCTTCTTTCTCCCTCCTTCTCCCTCTCTCTCCCTCCTCCATCTCTCTCCCTCTTTCTCCTCTCTCCCTCCATCTCCATCTCTCTCCCTTCTTCTCAGTTTCTCTCCTTCCTCTGTCTTTTTTCTCCCTCCATCTCATCTATCTCTCCCTTCTTCTCCATTTCTCTCCCTCCTCTGTTTTTTCCCTCTGTCTCCTCTCTCCCTCCATCTCCTTTCTCCATCTCTCAGTCCCTCCATCTCCATCTCTCTCCCTACTTCTCCGTCTCCATCACTCTATCTCCTTGACTGTCTCCCTCTTTCTCCCTTCTTCTCCATCTCTCTCCCTCTTTCCCTGTCTCCGTCTGTCTTCCTCCTGCTCCATCTGTGTCTCTCTCCCTTCTTCTATCTCTCTCCTTTCTTTTTCTTCTCTCTCCCTTCTTCTCCATTTCTCTCTTTGTTTCCTTCTCTCTCTCTCTCTCTCCTTCTCCATCTCTCAGTCCTTCTTCACCATCTCTGTCTCTCTCCATCCTTCTCTGTCTCTCTTCCTTCTTCTCTGTCTCTCTTCCTTCTTCTCTGTCTCTCTTCCTTCTTCTCTGTCTCTCTCTCCGTCTCTGTCACTCTATCTCCTTCGCTGTCTCTGTCTCTCTCCTTTCTTCTCCGTCTCTCTTCCCTTCTTCGTCTCTCTCCCTACTTCTCCGTCTCCGTCACTCTATCTCCTTGATTGTCTCTTTCTTTCTCCCTTCTTCTCTGTCTCTCTCCCTTCTTCTCAATTTCTCTCTCTGTTTCCTTCTCCATGTCTCTCCCTCTTTCCCCGTCTCCGTCTCGCTGCCTCCTTCACCATCTGGGTCTCTCTCCATCCTGCTCTCCTTTTTCATTTCTCCATCTCTCAGTCCCTCCATCTCCGTCTCTCTCCCTGCTTCTCCATCTCCTCTCTCCCTCCCTCTCCTTCTCTCTCCCTCCTTCGTCTCTGTCCCTCTTTCTCCTCTCTCCCTCCATCTCCTTCTCTCTCTCTTGTCTCTCGCTCCTGCTCCGTCTCCCTTCTCCATCTCTCTCCTCCATCCCTCCATCCCTCCTTCTCTCTGTTTTCCCAGGAGTTCTGATTAGCCTGCACACTCTCTCTTTCTCTATCTTTAGGCGCTCTGTTGGGATTTCAATTAATTCCACCCCCAAAAAAACGAAGAAAAAAAGTGCCATATCATCACAGTATACTACATACCTGTTTAATTAACTTCTCCTGTAATTAGAATTATCCCTGGCATGTCTCTCTGTTTCCTCCGCAGCGCCGCGTGGCCGTGTCTCCGATATTATCTGATTGTATGAATAACAAAATATAGGCCAGAGAAGATAAGCTACCCTGCGTGATAGGTCCTCAGATTTTTTGCATGCGCCGTCGCTTTGATCCGTCTCCCTCGGCCCCCCCAGCGAGCATCTGCTCCTCCTCGCCCATTGTTTTTCACATTTCATGGTCATTCCGTTGAAAGAGCGGCTCGCGTCGTTTGTATCTGATTACAAAAACGCGGCGCTCGAGAGGGTAGCCGCTCTTTTCTGGGGCGCGGGTTCATTACGGAGAATGGATGAGGGGGGGTTCCTGATGTTGTACAAAGCGCCGGCTCTTCAGATGCTTCGGTCTGAGTGGATGATTTTTTTTTTTTTTTGGACATATATATATAAAAGACTATCTATGACTTTACGTTATGAGTCTCGGATCCAGCGTGTAATGGTCGTCTGGTTAATGAGGTTATTATGTTTGATCCTCGTCTTCTCATTAGTGTTATTAAAGGTCTGATATTACACCAAAAAATGATTCTTGTGAGCTTTAAGACGTGTTATAATGTTGTTACCTCCTCAAAAAAAAACAGACCTGGAGTTGTGTTTTGTTACATTCACAGGTGTGAGTAACTCTGCATTAGTCTGTCTGTATCTCCCAAGCTCAAAATGCTCTGTTCCACCTTGTGATGTCATGAAGAAGCAGTAGTTCTCAAGTTAACAGCTACATTTTAGCATATTTTTCGGACTATAAGTTGCTCCAGAGTATAAGTCGCACCAGACAAAAAATGCATAATGAAGAAAAAAAAAACATATATAAGTCGCACTTTTTGGAGGAAATTTATTTTATAAAATCTGGCATTTCCTGTTGAAAGTCAAGTTAAAGTAACAAGTATTGTATAGTATGAAAGTGGTGTGTGTGTGTGAGTGATGGTGGTGGTCGAAGGGGCCGATGGCGCAGATTAGCAGCCTTGCTTCTGTCAGTCTGCCCCAGGGCAGCTGTGGCTACAATAGTAGTTTACCACCACTGAGTGTGGAGTGACTGAATAATGAACTGTAAAGCGCTTTGGGTATCTTGAAAGGCGCTATATAAATGCAATCAATCAATTAATCAATCAACAACAATAGAACAGAGAACAACAGGCTGTTCATGTCACATATGAACAGTTATTCCAGTGTAGCCGCGGCATCTTAAAAGTCTTAAAAAGGTCTTAAATTTCATGTTCCTAAATTAAGGCCTTAAAAAGTCTTTAATTATGTTGTTCAAGTCTTATTTTTTTCACAAAGGTCTTAAATTTCATTAGGCAAACTCAACCGGGCTGCAGTGCAACGTTCAACGGAGGGAGGAAAAAAACAACAATGTGAAATCATGTAACGTGAATGAACTTTTATTTTGGAGTATGCACAAATAATACTCTGGTTTCTAGCGCTGGCAGCAATGAGTGAACAATCAGTACAGTGAGCAACAGTTTGTTGTTGTTGAAAATGTTTAATGGTTGAAGCACTTTGAAAGACAGTGTGAGACAAGACAGTGTGAAAGGTTAGTTTGTCTTGTTAGAATGTTATAAATGATTCTTTTGGCCATTTTACAAGCAAAGCAGACAACTATAAATGAGTTCTGAATGCAATTTTATAATAAAAGTATTTTTTGTTATTTAAAGCAGTGATTAATGGTCATTATTAGATTTGGTGTTTTTCGCCCACATAATGGGTGCGATGTTGGTCTTAAAAACCTTGTATTCATTCAGATAACTATAGCATAAACAACAGAACAGAGTTTACCAAACTCTCCATCTCACTCCAAATCACTAAATCCATTCAATTCTTCATCCTTGGTGTCACTTCTGAGCAACTCCACGACCTCCGGAGGTAAACAGAGCACCGCTTCCTTCTTCTGTGTCGCTGTCGTCAGACTCAGCATCAGTTCCAGTTATAATTATTCTGGCCTTTCTGAATCCTGACAGGATGGTTTCAGTTGTCTTTATGCTTGTTTACATTTTAAATTTTCAGTGTTACAGATGTAATGGTGCAAGTGACTGACATGATACAGACATGTGCAGTAGAGTGAAGTGACAGTGGTACAGGAGTAACAGGAGCAGCAGATACTGACACACAAGACCATAGTATTTATTTATTTTTGTATGTATTTATTTATAAGGGAAGCCCCTTGAGATGTAGCAGCTCGTTTGCGAGGAGTATAAGTCACAGGAAACACCCAAACCACGAAAAAAGTCTGACTTATACTCCAAAAAGTACGGTACCTTGTTTAGTAACTGGCAAGTCCAGGGCTGAAACTATCCACATTTATTCATCCTAACTATCCACAGGATACTAGTGAAGGTGTATGGAGTTTAAAAACACAACGGAGCACTTACACATGACATGACAAGGTGGAACAGAGCATTTTCATTTGAGAGAAGAACTCTACAGGTATAAAAATCTGCAGGGTTTATGTGTTTAACCTGTCAGAATGAAATAAAAAACACAACTCCGGGTCTGTTTGTGATGACGAAACATTAAAACATCGATCAGAAAATAGCGTCATATTGTCCCTTTAAATCTCCTGATGATGTCTTCGGTTATAGCAATGCCTTTTTTATATTGTCTTCTTCACTTCCCCTCCCTTTTCTCTTTCTTTTCTGTCTCTTCTGTGTCTCAGTGCCAGCAGTATCGGGAGCAGGCCTCGGTGTTAGAGAACCAGCCAACAGGGACTTTTGTGTTGCAAGTGCATGCGGTGGATGCAGATGAGGGAGCAAATGGGAAAGTCAAATACGGCTTAATGCACAGAGACAGTGCAATGGCTGCCTTCAGGATAAACCCCGAAACAGGTATTGTCCAAACCCTCTTCTCCGGCAGAGTCTGCTTCAGGGTTATGTGAGTTTAGCTTTGTTAAGAAGGTTAGTTTAAAGATGAATTACTTGATTTTTTTTGTCGTAGTTAAATTTCTGACGTCTGGAAGAACATAGCGTCATTCAGTTTACTTCTGATATATATATTTATTTATTACAGTGAACCAGGACTGAACCAGGATTAAACCAGGTCTAAACCAGGACTAAACTGGAACTGAACCAGGACTAAAACAGGATTAAACCAGGACTGAACCAGGACTAAACCAAGACTTAACCAGGTCTAAACAAGGACTAAACCAGGACTAATCTTGGACTTGAAAGCAAGAGACTAAGCCAGGACTAAACCAGGACTAAACCAGGACTGAACCAGGACTAAACAAGGTCTAAACCAGGACTAAACCAGGACTAAACCAGGACTGAACCAGGACTGAACCAGGACTAAACAAGGTCTAAACCAGGACTAAACCAGGACTAAGCCAGGACTAAACAAGGTCTAAACCAGGACTAAACCAGGACTAAACCAAGACTTAACCAGGTCTAAACCAGAACTAAACCAGAACTAAACCAGGACTAATCTTGGACTTGAGAGCAAGAGACTAAGCCAGGACTAAACAAGGTCTAAACCAGGACTGAACCAGGACTAAACCAGGACAAAACCAGGACTAAACCAGGACTAAGCCAGGACTAAACAAGGTCTAAACCAGGACTAAACCAGGACTGAACCAGGACTAAACCAGGACAAAACCAGGACTAAACCAGGACTAAGCCAGGACTAAACAAGGTCTAAACCAGGACTAAACCAGGACTAAACCAGGACTGAACCAGGACTAAACAAGGTCTAAACCAGGTCTAGCCCAGGATTACACCAAGACTAAACCAGGTTTAAACCAGGACTAAACTAGGACTAAACCAGGACTAAACCAGAACAGAACCAGGACTCAACCAGGACTAATCTTGGACTTGAGACCGAGAGACTAAACCAGGACTAAACTAGGACTAAACCAGGACTAAACCAGGACTAAACCAGGACTAAACCAGCACTAAACCAAGACTAAACCAGCACTAAACCAAGACTAAACCAGCACTAAATCAGGGCGAAACCAGGACTAAACCAGGACTAATCTTGGACTTAAGAGCGAGAATCCTGAGTCCATGGGTGTCTTCAAACTGCGATCGGGCGACGGCTGCACTTAGCTCCGTGAAGCGCGGATCTCTGCGCCGGTCCTTTCTCCTGCTGTCACCCGACAATGTACGTGGGCGCATCTCCAGGCCCGTACCGACACTCAGTCCTGGTTCAGTCCTAGTTCAGTCCTGGTTTAGTCCTGGTTCAGGTCTCTATAGGACAGTCCTGCAGATTTCATGAGCCTATGCAGTTTGTTTTCACCATTACCAATCGCTCCAGTTTGACATTTAAAGGTTGTATGGAGGATTTTTTTTTTGTTTCAAGTTGTCAATGATAGCATTATAGAGGTGCAGTAGCCTTGTAATTATGATGACCAAAAAAAAAAGAATAAAAAATTCATCAACTCTGGACGTGGTGGGGCTAAACATTTGCCAATAGATAACGACACTGCCTCGTTATCTGTGAGCTGACAGGCTGTCAATCAATCTCCCTATGTTTCTAGTGTAACTGACTTGCCTGCGCCGCCGGTACGTGGTTTACGTACGACTGTCACGCAGTCCACAGACGCACAGACGCTGTTTACTCCACCAACGCAACAGTTCTTAGCGGCTTTTTTTGACCTATATCTTCCTCGCAGTTCGCACAAAGTTTGTTGCAATGGCGACAAGAATCCAGGAGCAGTTCGCCGCAAAAGAAAGTCCGTTTTTGAGATTGCTGAAAAGAGAAGACAAGGGGAAAACGTACTTTATTTCCAAGAGCTAGACAAACGTTTTTCAGGACACGAAAGCGATATCCTATGTCTGAAAACGTAATTTTCAAGGCAAAGAAAGAGTCCGCTTGCTGCTGCGTGTTGTAGCTAGTTCATTCGCACTGAATCTCCACGCAACCTTCTCTGCTCCCCTTTCCTGCTCCTGTCCCCGCTGCCCGTTCCGCTCTTCCCCCTGCTCCTCACTTCTCCGGGCACGGAATCTCCGCGCACCGCTCCCCTCTCTCCTCTCTCCTCTCCCTGCTCCGCTCTTCTCTCTGCTCCTCACTTCTCGTCCGCGAACGAAATGTCCGCACACCCGCTCCCCCGCTCCTCACTTCTCCGTCTTGCCTAACCAACACTGTAGTTAGTTGTTTACAAGTCATGTGCAGCGGCTGTAAACAAACCTGTTTCTGGCGTAAAGAGGAGGCGGGAGGAGGTGTTTCTACGTAGGAGCTGTAGGGGAGGGGGGGGTGGTTTCACGCATGCGCAACATTTGAAAAAGGACAAACAGTCGCTGGATTTCTCGTTCCTTGGAAAATCCTCTATACAACCTTTAAGTTGCTATTTAATGTATTTTATATTTGATATTTTTTTATATCTCACATCTGGAGAAGTGGGTGGACGCGATACCCCCACGTACCGCGCCCACTACTCCCCTGGGTTTAATAATGAGCCAAAGTTAATCATATGTAAATCGGCCTTATTACTCTACTTTCTGATCTCTGTTATAATGTTGTTTCCTCATCAAAAAATAAACTCCAGGTCTGTTTTTGAGGAGGCAACCGCATTATATCTCGGCTTAAACCTCGCACGTCTCAAGGTCTTACATTATGCAAAATTAATTGTTTTAGTATGGACTATTTGTAAAGTCTGATTTATTCCCGTATGCACCTGCGGAACTAAAGCAGCGGCAGCAGCAGCAGCAGCACCTAAATCTGCTACAAAACCACTTTTCTTTTGTAAGACTAGTGGATTCTTACATGGCCCCCGGCTCGTAAACTTAACTAAACCAAATCTCACGATAATTCACACCGGCTCGTGCAATACTGCGTGCTTTATTTGTTTACCAGTCGGGCGCATTACGGGGGAATAACAGTGACTCATAACTGTGCTAATGCTCTGTCAATGAGGAAATTGGATCCGTGTTGATGGTGCCTGTGTGTTGTGGTGGGCATTGTAAGTGCTGATTCTCTTGTATTTACAGGAGAGATTGTGACAGCCAGACGTTTTGACAGGGAGCGCCAGAGAGAGTATTCAATTACAGTAACAGCTACAGACTGGGCCGAGGAGCCGCTCATTGGCATCTGCACGCTCACCATCCAAATACTGGACCAGAATGATAATAGCCCCAAGTTCGAGAATCTGCGCTACGAGTGTAAGTGGTGGACGGTCATTACGCATGCAGCTGGAGGTCTCTCTGTGAGTCATAAGCACAGAGACTCAATCACTCAAGTGCTCAATATTGTTACTTAAAGGTTCATCGTGTAACTTTTCAGGTGGAAGCTCTGTCAAACACTTTCCTCTGTGAAGATGTTATTGCTTTGGCTCACAGTGTGGTTTAAATAAGGATGTAACGGTACACAAAAATCATGTTTCGGTACGTACCTCGGTTTTGAGGGCACGGTTCGGTTCATTTTCGGTACAGTTTGGGAACAAAATGCAAAACCAGTAGCTCGTTGTTTATTTATGTGTTTATTAAACCAACAGTGCGTTCTGACGTTATACAAATGGGGAAATTAAATACCGTATTTCACACCAGCCAAAAAATGCATAATGAAGAAGAAAAAACATATAAATCACACTGGACTATAAGTCGCACTTTTTGGGGAAAATTTGTTTTATAAATTCAGAGACCAGGAACCAACATTTAATCTTGAAAGACAAGTTATCCATCCATCCATCCATTTTCTTCTGTTTATCCGGGGCCGGGTCGCGGGGGGCAGCAGTCTAAACAGGGTCTCCCAGACTTCCTTCACCCCAGACACGTCCTCCAGCTCCTCCGGGGGGACCCCAAGGCGTTCCCAGGCCAGTCGAGAGACATAGGCTGCGTTCAGACTGCAGCCTGAAGTGACCCAAATCCGATTTTTTGTCCTCTATGTGATCTGTATCTGATCTTTTAATGACAGTCTGAACGACACAGATCCAATTTTTTCAAATGTGACCCAGGACACTTGGATATGTGGTCCTGAAACCGATACATATCTGATCTTTTGACATGCGACTTCAGTGTGAACGGCCAAAGTGCATTCATTCGACCTACGCGTTATCAACAAGCCACAAACGTCACTATTCTGCGCTGAAGTAGGTGAAAATTGTTAATGAACTCTGTGTCACTGAAGCGAAGCACATCACCACTCACCACTCTTGGCTACGTCTCCACATCCACACGTTCCTTTCAACGGACGTTGCTGCCGCTGCCCGACAAAACACCACGGCCAAAAACCTCGTCCTTCTCCTTCTCAGTCTCCTCCTTAAAACAAGTAAGTTGTTCATGTTGTGGCTCCGGTACAAGAGGAACTTTTAAAATCTCCAGGTGCTCGATGCTCGCGTCCATGTTTGGACAACTTCCGTAAACACAGAGCACGCTCGCTGCGGTTGACGTCGTCGTGTCTCCAGTGTCACATGCGGGACACTTTCGGGCCGTTTAATGTTCACACTGGAGTCACATACAAGTCGCATTTAATTGGAAATGTGAACAACCTCGCAAAAACATCAGATTTCACAAAAAAATCGGAATTGAGCGTTAAGCCCTGCAGTCTGAACGTAGCCATAGTCCCTCCAGTGTGTCCTGGGTCTTCCCCGGGGCCTCCTCCCGGTGGGACATGCCCAGAACACCTCCCGAGGGACGAGCCCAGGAGGCATCAGAACAGATGCTCGAGCCACCAAGACAAGTTATAGTAACAACAGTAGAATAATAAACAACAACAGGCTGTTAACGTCACATATGAACAGTGTTACGCCCCAGCGCTGCTAGGGACAAGGGGAAGTAATAAAAAAACAAGATGTTAAATGGAATAAATTAAATAATGATTAATTAACAGGAATGTAAAAGTAAATTAACAAAACAGACTAACATATATACAGAAAATAACCTAAACTAAGAAACAGAACAACAGAATAAACTGAGTTTTGTGCCACAAAAGGGGTCACGCAGGCTTACACAAAACGAGTGGTAAAACTAAGGGACACACATGAACTAAAACACAAGTGCCCCAAATTAAACCACATAAGCCCACAAACAGAATCGAGTGACCAAATTAAAAAAGGCACAAAACAGAAGTAAACTACAGACCTAAGCACACGGACAAACACAAACACAAAATGGCAGACTGACCACCAAGACCAGCAGCCCTGAACAGGTGATGATAATCTCCTTAAACAGGGGGCGGTGGCTGCAGGTGAGGTGGGCGTAGACCTGCCCCACCCATCACGGGCCAGGGCTCCCGCAGAACCAATCAGGAGAGAGCAGCAAAATAATTTAGAACACACAAAACAAAATAGAACTAAAAGCCTGGGGCTGTAACAGCAGTTCTTCAGATAACTATAGTATAAACAACAGAACAAGTTTACCAAACTCTCCATCTCACTCCAAATCACTAAAGTCATTCAATTCTTCATCCTCGGTGTCACTTCTGAGCAACTCCACGACCTCCGGAGGTAAACAGAGCGCCGCTTCCTCTTCTGTGTTGCTGTCGTCAGACTCAGCATCAGGTTCAGTTAGAATTATTCCGGCCTTTCTGAATCCCGACAGGATGGTTTCGGTGTCACTGAAGTCCAAACTTTGTCAATCCATCCAATGACTTCCAGAAAAGTTGAATGGTGCACCCTCCCGGTTACCGTGAAGCTGTGTTCTTCATCCCTGCTTTCCTCCAGTCCTTCACAAGTTTCTCGCTCACTCCAAACTTTCTTTCTCCTGCTTAACTTACATTTTTGGCTGAATGTTTCACTACTTGCAGCAGGACAGAGGCTCTTTCTGCAGGAGACATGTGCAGTAGAGTGAAGTGACCGTGGTACAGGAGGAACAGGAGCAGCAAATACTGACACACAAGACTAGAGCCTCTCACGACTGTCAGTGTGAACATTTTAGTATATAAGTCGCATTGGAGTATAAGTCACAGGAAACACCCAAACTATGAAAAAAAATGCAACTTATAGTCAGAAAAATACGGTAAATGCAAAGTGCTGCTTGATAATACTAATAAGTTAAATAAAATATTCTCAAATAAGCAACAAATGTATGAAATATTATTTTAAAAAAAATCCTTGTGAACAGTAAACTAAACTTTTCAAAAAGTAAAGTGCAGCACTAACAGTTCCAGCATGAAGTTTTACTCAATCTTCATATTTTTTAGCTTGAAAAACCAACTTGTCCACATTGTCTGGAGTAAGTGCAGATCTGCCTGCAGTTGCGGGGAAACACTGTCACCCCAATCACGGATGAGTTCCCTCGTGAATATTAAAGAGCCGATCCTGCCGTGTTGCTGTAGCTGTGGAGGAATGTAAACAAGCACAAATTGCGCGAATTCACTCGTGCACAGCCCTGAACCGAACCGAGCGTCCTGGACCGAGATGGTTCAGCACGAATACATGAACCGTTACAACCCAAGTATTAAACCTTTCTATCTTCATTTAGAAAAAAAACAGACCAAGTTACAGGTCAGATCTGCGGAGAGGCGACTCTGCTCACAGTCAGAGTGTCTGTTTTTATAGGTGTTTCTGAGCTATAAAACCACCTGTGATTTAATAAAGTAGAGCTGTTTAATGTCACACTGTGGAACATTCCAGACAGAGCAATGACATCTCCATAGAAACAAGCAGATGACATAACCTCAACCAAAAAGTTACACAGTGCACCTTTAAGTAAAAGTACAGATACTGGATGAAAAATCTACTTAAGTAAAAGTATCAAAATGTCTGTTTAAAAATGTCCTTAAAGAGTTAAAAGTAAAAGTATTTTGCAAAGATTTTGAGGTCTTTTAAAGCTTCAAATGCATACATTTTGATACAGATCTTACATCATCAGGCATCGTACAGGCATTAAACCTTTCTATCACCATGGAGACCAAACCAGGGCAAGTTACAGGTCAGATCTGTGGAAAAGCGACCCCGCTCTCAGTCAGAATGTTTGTTTTTCTAGGTATTTTTGAGCAATAGAACCACCTATAATTTAATAAAGGTAAACTAAAACTGTTTAATGTCACACTGTGGAACATTCCAGACAGAGCAATGACATCTCCATAGAAACAAGCAGATGACATAACCTCAACCAAAAAGTTACACAGTGCACCTTTAAGTAAAAGTACAGATACTGGATGAAAAATCTACTTAAGTAAAAGTATTAAAGTGTCTGTTTAAAACTGTACTTAAAGAGTAAAAAGTAAAAGTATTTTGCAAAGATTTTGAGATCTTATAAAGCTTCAAATGCCTAAAATTTGATACAGATCTTACATCATCAGGCATCATACAGGCATTAAACCTTTCTATCACCATGGATAAGTAAAGGTACAGATACTGGAGCAGAAAAATACTCAACTAAAAGAAAAAGTATCACATGAAACAATCTACTCAAGTAAAAGTATTAAAGTGTCTGTTTAAAAATGTACTTAAAGACTAAAAAGTAAGATAAGTAGTCTAATTAAGCTTCAAAAATATTAATTTTGATACAGATCTGCGCTGAATCAGTTTTTCTTGCTGTTTTTATTTGTATATTTTTGTTGCTCTAATTATGAACGTGTTAAAAATAAACCCTCCGCCTTTTCAGCAGGTCTCAAACAATAGTCAAAAATACTTTTACTTTGCAGTTCTGTTCAAAATGTGGCGGAGTAGAAAGTACAGACACCTGCTCTCAAATGTAGTGAAGTAAAAGTAAAAAGTATCCACTGTAAAATGTACTTTAAAGTGGATTGTGTAGATTTTCTGGTGGACTTTTCTTCATGAAGATGCTATTGCTTTTGTCTGAAATGTTCCACAGTATGGCATTGCCTTTATTCATGGAACAAACTTTATATATCAGATCGAAGCGACAACAATCACATAGAACATCCAACAACAAGCAGGTGACAGACCCTTAACCAAAAAGTTACACAGTGCACCTTTAACTAAAAATACAGATACTGGAGCAGAGCAATACTCAAGTAAAAGTAAAAGTATCACATGAAAAATCTACTCAAGTAAAAGTATTAAAGTGTCTGTTTAAAAATGTACTTAAAGAGTAAGTATTTTGTGCAGATTTTGAGATCTTATAAATATTCAGATGTTTTAATTTTGATACAGATCTAAAATAGAAATAATTTAATCAGTTTTTTTAGCTGTTTTTATTTGTGTACTTTTATTGCTCAAATTATGAACGTGTTAAAAAATAAACCTGTTCAGCCTTTTCAGCAGGTCTCAAACAATAATCAAAAATACTAAATATAAGAATTAGTTTTTAGTCCTGTTCAAAAATGTGGTGAAGTAGACAGTACACACACCTGCTCTCAAATGAAGTAGTGAAGTAAAAGTAAAAAGTATCCACTGTAAAATGTACTTAAAGGTGCATTTCTGTTTTTTCTCCGTTGAGATGTTATTACTTTGTCTAGAATGTTCCACAGTACGGCATTAAACATTTATATCATCATGGAGACCAAACTAGACCAAGTTACAGGTCAGATCTGTGGAGAGGCGAACCCCCTCACAGTCAGAATGTTTGTTTTTCTAGATATTTCTGAGCAATAAAACCACCTATAATTGAATAAATGTAATGTAGAGCTGTTTAATGTCACACTGCGGAACATTCCAGGCAGAGCGATGATATATCCGTAGAAACAAGCAGGTGACAGACTCCTAACCAAAAAGTTACACAGTGCATCTAAAAATACATATACTGGAGCAGAGAAATGCTCAAGTAAAAGTCAAAGTACTTGTGTACTTTTGTTGCTCAAATTATGAACGTGTTAAAAATAAACCCGCAGCCTTTTCAGCAGGTCTCAAACAATAATCAAAAATACTTTTACTTTTCAGAAATGTAGTGGAGTAGAAAGTACACACACCTGCTCTCAAATGTAGTGAAGTAAAAGTAAAAAGTATCCACTGTAAAATGTACTTAAAGGTGCATTTCTGGTGGACTTTTCTCCGTCGAGATGTTATTGTTTTTGTCTGGAATGTTTCACAGTATGGCATTAAACATTTATATCTTCATGGAGACCAAACTAGACCAAGTTACAAGTCAGATCTGTGGAGAGGCGAACCCGCTCACAGCCAGAATGTATTTTTCTACTTATATTTGAGCTATAAAACCACTTGTAATTGAATAAATGTAAAGTAGAGCAGTTTAAAGTCAAAAAGTTACGCAGTGTACCTTTAACCGCAGCACAGATACCTTCACATTTTACTTATCTACAGTACTTTACTACTTTTACTTCATTACTTTTCACTGCTGGTCATAAGTGAAGCAGGATTAAAAGTGTCTCTGCAGGAAACACAGTTCAGATTCATTTAAGGTTAAAGAGCCCTTTCATTTTGGTCATTTAGCTTTATTGGGCATGTGTTGAATCTGTGATCTCAGTAAATACTCCGTAATTATTTCTAGAGGAAAATATGTAGCAGCAGTTTATTAGATCATTATCATTTCCGACTAAAATATAACCCTGGGTCAGAAGCTTTTTAATTACAAAGTGTTTATATAAGAGCGGTATAAAACATAGTGTGGAAGCAAGATTGTATTTGTGTTTCCTTGATACAAATTAGTTTGACAAAAACATTGTAATAATTTGCTTTAACTACAGAACGGTTGCTTATCTTAAAGCTTCCATGCATTTAGAAACTTAATGAGAACATCGGCTCTTCGTTGAGGAAAAAAAAAGGAAAAGAAAAGCTAAAAAAAAAGTAGTAAGTATGTTTTATTATATGAGCTCAGTCAGTTTGTTTTTTAAAAGTGCACTGTGTAACATTTCTAGAGGAGGGTCCGCCACCTGCTTGTGTCTAGAATGTTCCACAGTGTAGACTAAACAACAGGTTACAGCACTATGCTACATTACAGTTCAGATCTGTGGAGAGTCGCCCCATTCACAGAAGGAATTCATGTATTTTTGAGCAAAGGATGGAGATGAATCTGTGTGTCATTCATGCGTTTTTCAATATAAAACCAAAAATAAGAAAATGAAAAAACAACTGTTTTCTTAATTATTTGTCTCCAAAACCAAAATGTAAAAATGGATAATAATTAGTTTTTTCAGTTTTCGATTTTGTGTTTAAATTAATAATGGAAAAAAAACGGATAATGTCTGTTTCCCGTTTATGTGACTTAAACTGCGATGCCGGACTTTTGCACGGCATGTGGACTGAACCAGAACTGAACCAGGACTGAAACAGGACTAAACCAGGACTAAACCTTTTTTAGTCCTGGTCTCAGTCCTGGTCTGGTCCTGGTCTGGTCCCGGTCTCAGTCCTGGTCTCAGTCCTGGTCTCAGTCCTGGTCTCAGTCCTGGTCTCAGTTCCGGTCTGGTCCCGGTCTCAGTCCCGGTCTCAGTCCCGGCCTCAGTCCTGGTCTAAGTCCTGGTCTGGTCCTGGTCTCAGTCCCGGTCTCAGTCCCGGTCTCAGTTCCCATCTGGTCCTGGTCTCAGTCCCGGTCTAAGTCCTGGTCTGGTCCTGGTCTGGTACCAGCCTCAGTCCTGGTTTCAGTACTGGTCTGGTCCCGGTCTCAGTCCCGGTCTCAGTCCCGGCCTCAGTCCCGGTCTGGTTCCGGTCTGGTCCCGGACCTGTTTTAGTCCTGGTTTAGTCCTGGTTTAGTCCGTATGCAGCTCAAAAGTTCGGCATCTCAGTTTAAGTCACGTAAACGGTAAACAATCATTATCCGTTTTTTTTTCCATAATTAATTTAAACACAAAACCGAAAACTGAAAAAAACAAATCATTATCCATTTTTTCATCTTAGTTTTGGAGACAAATAATGAAGAAAACAGTTATTTTTTTCATTTTCTTATTTTTGGTTTTATTTTGAAAAACACACGACCGAACGATACACTTATTAGTATCTTTAAAGTCATACTGTGGAGCATTTCAGGCAAAGCAATAACATCTAAATGGAGACAAGCAGGTAGCGAACCCTCCACCCTCCACCAGAAAGACCTGATTTTCAAAACACGACAACAAATGTTCAAGTGTGATATTTTGCAGAAGTAAATATAGACGATAAACGACGACGTTGAAACCAAAAACCATAAATCAGGATTACAAAACACGCACAAAAACGTTTAATAAATACATGATAATATGGTTAAAAAAAGAAGATCTGTTATAAATAAGTAACAGATTGCAACTCTTATGTAATTAGTTTGTATATAGAGCTGAGTCATAGTTCATAGTTAACGTTTTGTATCTCAAATCTCGTCGTAGTAGAGAAAAATATCAACATTCTTCCCATGACAGTCCCACTTCTGGCCGTGGATTCCTCTGTATAAAATATGGATTGTGACCCTTTTAGATTTCTTGAGAGAGGACACGTTGGTGGGGACCAGCTTCTTGCGCGTGGCTGCTCACGACGACGACTTTGGCACCCATGCGGCCATCGCTTACTCCATGTCTCCGGAGCAGCCCGAGTACCTCCAGGTGAATCCGGTGACGGGGTGGGTGTACGTCAACCAGCCCATCTCACAGGTACGTCCACTCTTCTCTTATTGTTATGGGTTTGCGAAAATGTCGAAATGTGAAATGAAATGTATTTGTCTCAAACATACCCAGATCTCTCGGCACGATATTATCACGATATGCATCTCACGGTACGATATTTTAAGAGAGGCTGATATAATTGTAGATACAAATAATAATTCCTTGACGAGATTTTCTTTATACTGTAAATTCTGGACTTTAAGCAGCTATTTTTTTCTCACACTTTGAACCCTTCTGCTAATAAAACGATGCGACAAAGGCTGCGTTCAGACTGCAGCCTGAAGTGACCCAAATCTGATTTTTTGGCCTCTATGTGACGTGTATCTGATCTTTTAATGACAGTCTGAACGACACAGATCCGATTTTTTCAAATGTGACCCAGGACACTTGGATATGTGCTCCTGAAACCGATACATATCCGATCATTTGACATGCGACTTCAGTCTGAACGGCGAAAGCGCATTCATCCACCTACACGTTATCGACAAGCCACAAACGTCACTATTCTGCGCTGAAGTAGGCGAAAATTGTTAATGTGTCACTAAAGCGAAGCACATCGTCACTCACCGCTCTTGCCTACGTCTGCGCATCCACACGTTCCTTTCAACGGACTGTCCCACAAAACGTCACGGTCAAAAACCTCGTCCTTCTCCTTCTCAATCTCCTCCTTAAAACCAGTAAGTTGTTCATGTTCTGGCTCCGGTACGAGAGGAACTTTAAAATCTCCAGGTGCTCAATGCTCGCCTCCATGTTTGGACAACTTCCGTAAACACAGAGCACGCTCGCTGCGGTTGACGTCGTCGTGTCTCCAGTGCACATGCGGGACACTTTCGGGCCGTTTAATGTTCACACTGGAGTCACATACAAATCGCATTTAATTGGAAATGTGAACGACCTCGCAAAAACATCGGATTTCACAAAAATCTGAATTGAGCGTTAAGCCCTGCAGTCTGAACGTAGCCTAATATATGGACGGATTCTTTGTTTGGCACATTGTCCATTCGTATATACAATCTATGGCAGGGGCCCGATGGTCATATGCGGCCCTTTAATCTTCTTAATCCGGTCCTCCAACCTTGAAGAACAATAATAATAATAATTTTCAGTGTTTTTCAAAGTGATTTCAGTAAATAGTAAATACCGTGAGACTTCAAGATACTGTATTTTGTTGTAATGCTTTGTAATGATTTTCAATTATGGGATATTTTAATACCTTGGGTGTGACCAAGACGGGTAGAGCGGCTGGATTGCAGTGAGAAACACAAGAAAAGATGATGGAGGCAGGTTTGGCGTGGTTCACAATTTTTGATTTCTTTTTTCAATTCTCCAAAAGTGCCAGTGCAAAAAAAGTGCGGTGCAAAACAAACAAAAAAGGTGCAGGGAGGATGGGGAGCGGCTGGTCTCTCCAGCAGCAGAACATAGAATGATATAATCGGGCGCCTTAAAGTAACCTTAGTTATATAAAACAAAGTTAAAATCCTCCAATAAAATACCCATAACCAAATAAACCATATAAAAAACATATACAAAAAATAAAACCCTAAAACTAAGACCTAATAAAACACAACGTGAATAACCCAATTAAAAACAAGTGGCATTTTAAGAGGAAAGATAGCCTCACAAAATATCACAATAAATATCGTAACGTGAGGTTCATACCGTGACGATATCGTATTGTGAGATCTGGACATCGTTACACTTTACACAAATACTTTTATTCATTAATCGATGCATAGGGCATGTCTGCAGTCAACCAAGATTTTTTTTTTGTTAATTAAATACAAAGGTGCAACATTTTACAGTAATGTTGAGATATAAGAAAATGCAAAACTATTACGAAATAAACCTCAGGCAGGGCAGTGGCATTAGTGTTTTCAATAGGTTTATACTGTGTCGAGATCCGTATTTATTTTACATAAGCAGTGTTTAACAAAGAAATACTGTTGTGAAAATGTACTTGGTAGGGATGTAACAATAACCGAAATATTGCGAAATCGTATCGTCAGAGTTCTCACCATAATATCGTGGACCATCACAATATATCGAATTACAAGTGTTTTTGCTTAAATTAAGAGTTATGGTGCAGCAATAGCTAAAAAAAAAAGACAGAGGGAACTACATAGACCACAGGTGTCAAACATAAGGCCCGGGGGCCAGATCCGGCCCTCCAAGACCTTTAATATGGCCCTTGGGTGATTTTCTACTAAAATATTTTAATTATATTTTCTATTAAAATATTGGTAATTTTCTGCGGTGCTTAGCATATCAGCATCTCCAGCGCCTCTGTACGTGGCCCCTCCCACCAGAGCAGCACAAATGAAGACTTGTCTCTTTCCAAACGCTCTTAAAGGACGATCGTTTTGACTGTTGACCGTGACACCCTCATCAACAAAATGTCAAAAATGAGAAAAGTGGACGTTGAGTGCAGGATTTTCCAAGAAAAATTTACTTATTCCTGTTTGCATACAAGTTAATGTTAAAACTTTGTGTTTAAATTGAATTTTTCTTAAAGTTTCAGGTTGTTCATAATATTATAATATTATAATAAGAAAGAGTTCATCAATTAAAAAAGATTTTCTGTAATAGATTTGCATTTCTCTGCACAAATATTTGAACTTATTGTTATTTTTGGGGTTTATATGACATGAGTTTTCTGATCCGGCCCCTTTGGATCAAAGTCGGTTGGATACGGCCCCCGGACCAAAATGAGTTTGACACCCCTGACATAGACCATGATTCTTTGCTCCATTTCAGTGCAGACTACAAGAAGAAATAACAGTTTTAAGCACTTTTAAGTCTTAGTTCTTTGGATTAAGTCTTGTCAAGGCATTTTAAGAGGAAAAAGTAGCATATTTACAGTTTTGTCAGCCTCCACGAAATATCGCAATAAATATCGTAACGTGAGATGTGTATCGTGAAAATATCGTACCGAGATATATTGGATATTGTCACGTGAGGTTCATACTGTGATAATATCGTATTGTGAGACTTGGATATCGTTACACCCCTACAGTCTTGGGAAGGTTACTTTTAAAATGTATTCCCCTACAGATTACAATTACATACACCAAAATGTAGTTTGTAACGGAATCCATTAAATTACTTAAAGTGAGTAATGTAATCTGAATGCTTTGGATTACTTGGTTTGCTGTAGAGAAGCAACTAGGATATATTCACATAAGATGTTTTGTTTGCTAAAAGACAATAAAAAGCCCAAACTTTACTTGACCAAATTCAAAATATTATTGATAGAAGAGGAGGAGACACGGTCCGCACAGCAACATTTAGTCCTGTTAAATCCTGTTTGAGACATAGTTTAGACCTGGTTTTAGACCTGGTTTAGACCTGGTTTAGACCTGGTTTTAGACCTGGTTTAGACCTGGTTTTAGACCTGGTTTGGACTGATTTAGACCTGATTTGGACCTAGTTTAGACATGGTTTTAGTCCTGTTTTAGTCCTAGTTTAGACCTAGTTTAGACCTGGTTTTAGACTTGGTTTTAGACCTGGTTTAGACCTGGTTTAGACCTGGTTTTAGTCCTGGTTTAGTCCTAGTTTAGACCTAGTTTAGACCTGGTTTTAGACTTGGTTTTAGACCTGGTTTAGACCTGGTTTAGACCTGGTTTTAGTCCTGGTTTAGTCCTAGTTTAGACCTAGTTTAGACCTGGTTTTAGACTTGGTTTTAGACCTGGTTTAGACCTGGTTTAGACCTGGTTTTAGTCCTGGTTTAGTCCTAGTTTAGACCTAGTTTAGACCTGGTTTTAGACTTGGTTTTAGACCTGGTTTAGACCTGGTTTTAGACTGGGTTTTAGACCTGGTTTAGACCTGGTTTGGACCTGTGTTTAGTCCTATTTTACTTCTGGTTTAGACCTGGTTTTAGACCTGGTTTAGATCTGATTTTAGACCTGGTTAAGACCTGGTTTTAGACCTGGTTTGGACTGATTTAGACCTGGTTTGGACCTGGTTTAGACCTGGCTTTAGTCCTGTTTTAGTCCTAGATTAGACCTAGTTTAGACCTGGTTTCGTCCTAGTTTAGACCTAGTTTAGACCTGGTTTTAGACTGGGTTTTAAACCTGGTTTAGACCTGGCTTAGACCTGGTTTGGACCTGTGTTTAGTCCTGTTTTAGTCCTGGTTTAGACCTGGTTTTAGACCTGGTTTAGTGTCCGGCAATGAGTGGAATTACCCAGTAGCCCAAAATGTGAAAACAGGAAAATACCGCCGTGTAATCCATTTATTTCAACAAAGTAACTGTAATCCAATTACCACTCACTGAAACAGTAACTGTAACCGAATACAGTTACTCATGATTTGTACTCTGATTACGTAACTCCAGTACATGTAATCTGTTACTCCCCAACACTGCACCCCTAGTATTTGGTGATAAAATACTGGTATATTGTAGAGTATCATGTGTAATATATTGATTATCGCGTGTATCGGCGTATTGTGATAATATCGTATTGTGCATCTCGTATCGAATCTAAGGGACTCGGCAATTCCCAGCCCTATTTTTCACTATACTCTTATTACCATCCCCTTATTACCATACTCTTCACACTCGCACACACACACACACACACACACACACACTCCGTCATGTGTTAGCCTGTGGGTTTGTGTCAACAGAACTAATGAATGAGGCATCTCCGAGTGTCTGCTCCTCCCAATCCGGGCTGAGCGTTCTCCCAGAGGTGCTGCATGTGAAGGGAACACTCACAGGCCCAAATCAGGCTAAAACAACTGATTAAAAATAGATTTTCACAGCTTTGGACTCCTCTGGACACATCCGATGATGGCAGCAAAGTGGTGCTATATATATCTTATGCATATGTGCTTAAAAATGAATGTTGACCTTAAATTAATATTTTATTTTATGTTATTTCTATTTAAATGACCTATATTATGTTACTTTATGCTTTATGTTGTAGTGCTGCTTCCTCATTAAAACAGACCTGGAGTTGTGTTTTGCTTCATTCACACATGTTTAACA